GGCGGCTCATCCCGCCCCCCCCGTGCTGTGTTTCGGTGGGGGAATTCACTCTTTTAAGCAGTTCCCTCGGAATCTTTCTATATTCCTCTTCATAACTATGTGGCATCCAGGTACTCCCAAAAGCCTCAGGTCGTGAGTGGGATACGGTGAGAAGGGAAAGTCTACAGGAAAAGAGATGGTTCTTTCTTAAAAACTAAAATGAAGTTTTTCCTGGTATCTGCTCCGTGGCCCCCGCAGCCCCCCTTCAGGAAAGCCGAGGGGTTTTGCCCCGCTTGAACTTGCTCGCTCGTGTGCGAGGGTGTGCAAGGGTTTCGGTCCCTGGCGTCTCCCTGCAGGCAAAGAGGACTCGCCTGGGAGCAGCACAACCTCTCTGCTTCTTTTAGTTCCTCTGGAAGGATTCGAGGTGTTTGGGTTTTACAACTTTAAAAAAAATATTTTTTAATTTTTATTAAATATTTACATCCGTGCCCGGATGCTTTGTGTTAACCTCAGCCCTGCATTTAATTTCTGTGCCGGTAGTATTGCACTGTAGCTATTTATGGCCTCTTTAAGGCTTTTCACTTAAAACCGACCCACAGATTCATTTTCTGGCTGTTTGGTAGCTTCAGAATTTGAATTAACGATGTGCAGTGTTTTGTTAAATGACCTGTGGGCATGAATGCCAGCAGAAATATCTGAGCAGCTACAATGCAAATGTAGGTAAATGCTCCCGAAACTTCCCTCCGGTGGCCAGAGAAGCCAAAGTTGGGCCCTCTTGGGGTAGCAAGAGATGGGGAAGCAAACCGGGCATCACTTTGTAACACCGCACGTCCTTTCTGTATTGCAAAGAGTAAAGTTTAGATGTCTGTTGAAAAGTTTAGATCACTGCTGAAAGGTTTTTTTGTTGTTGTTGTATTTCAGTCATTTCTGTTGAGTACAGTTTTATAAAATCACACTTAGAAATACAGAACCACCACCCTTAAGAATTACGGGGATTAGTTACTCTTTCCTAAACCTTTGCTTTTTAGGGTCATGTTTGGGAGGTGACTGCACTCAGGCATTTCTTCAGTTTTGAGGGAGATGTGTTTGGAAGTTTTTGCTTGATAAATGCTTTCATTTAAATGCTTCTGCAAGGGCTGACAGGCGTAATCACCGACGGTGCGATCTTGGTAATTATGGGTAGCAACAGGGCATCATTGTTAGAACTTGGTGCTAAATGAACCTGCTTTGATTAATTGTAAATCCGTAAGATTGCTCCAGTGTTTCGAGCTGAATTTTCATCTTTATCAGTTTAAATGCCCACATAGGGGATCAGCGAAGGAAATTGAGTTGAGACTAATAGTTAACAATTTACCGTACATCATGGATTTTCGGTCAAGTGATAAAAGGCTGGCAGGAAATGAGAAATTGATACCTCAAATAAGAGTAAACATATGTTAAGTGTAGCTTTTACAAGATTGTTTGATAAATTATAAATTGGTTTAGGCAAAGCGCAATCCGAAGTGACATATTTTGGTTAGTTTGAAGCTGGCAAAGCCAAGACTTGAAATAAGTTTATACATCTGGAGGCAGATCCGTGGCCGATGTAAATTGTCGTAGCGCTGTTGGCGTTAATTGGGTTCCAGCAATTTATGCCAGTGGAGAGTGTGCCTTAGTATCTGTTATAAACAGTGGTTCATATTGTTGGAATATGAGTCCAAGAATGAGCTTGAATTAACTTTGATGGTATAAGTAGACTTTTGTTAGGGATGTGGGGATTTAAGCAAACAAATTTTTTTTCAAAGCTGAGTTTGTAGTTAGGTGTGAGATGAGACATGCGGGTTACTTTATCTGTTACTTTGCAGAAGATGTTAAAAGTTGTGGGCCTAAGTTACATCTTCATTCTGCAAAAGCTTTTGCAAACGCTTAGCTTTGCGCACAATTTCACTGGTACCCGTTAACGCTGCTCACGTGTCGGAGTCGGCATGTGCAGCCCTGGACCCTGACAAGCGTGTAAGGAAAACTTTGTGCAGTGCTTTAAAGGTGTCTTGTCTATAAAGCAAGAAAGGATTTTGTTTTAAGCTTAGCTGAAAAGGTGCTGCCAAAGCTTAGGGATCAGAGGATCTGGCCCAGCAGCACAGTGCGTGATGTTTGCTGAGACGTGAAGCGAGCCGACCGCGACCGCCCTGCTGCTCGAGAGCTGCATTTCCCCAATCCAAGGTTAGGATTAGAAATAATTGTGTTGCTTTCTGTTGCAGATCCCTGTTTATACATTCCTCGTTTTGCACACATGCTTGAGTTTGGGGATAAGAACCACGAGGTGTCCATGACGGCTCTCAGGCTGTTGCAGAGAATGAAGCGGGACTGGATGCACACCGGCCGCCGGCCCTCCGGGCTCTGCGGAGCAGGTATGTCAGATGCTGGCTGTATCGCTTCCCCCGCGGCGGATTAGACGGGAGAGTCGGGGAGCTGGGAACAGATGAGGACTTTCTCCTTGCCTCGGTGATGCCATATTCTCTGGGTTTTGTGCTGTCAGGCACCTACAGATTATACAGGTCTTCACCGAAATAGTTTCTGAAACTCAAACTTCATTTTTGCCCTTGCTCCTACATTACTTGCTCAGATCCTTTGTGTCTTACGTTTTGGATTTTTTAACCTCCTTTCTGGTGCTCCTTTTGCCCCCGCTCTCTGCAAGCTCTAGCTGCTAAAAGGTTTTTTTGTCAGCTAAAATGACACCATTAGTGCAAGCACTTTGATTTGTGTCTTTACACAGAGTCTTATGCAAGAAATGCCCTCTTTGACCTGTTCTGTGAAATTATTTTCCTCTCCTTCTTCATCTTTTTCCAAGCTCCATCGCTGTCATGATGCTTACAAAAAACCTGCCGGTTTGGGAGGGCTGGGTTAAAAGGTAGTCAGTACCAGCCAGTGAGGTCAGAGTAACGAAGACTGTAGATAGTCACAGAGTTCACATAAGCGCTTTATTTTATTTGAAAAATGTTACGTGTTTGTGCTGGAATGAGGAATAGCACACAAACCATAGGCAACCTGGGACTATGCAATCTTCTTGACATATTCTAGCCTCTTTTTGTTAGTAGTACTTGTTTATTGCACACTGCTAAAAATTTGAGTATGGACTCTATGGGAGACCAGCCTGGTCTTTGATTCCCTACATAGACTATATCCACACCAGTGAGTAATTTGCTTCAACAGACGTGGATGAAGAGATGGAAGCAGGTGGTGCTGAGCCCTCTACATCCATCCAGGCAATATGCAGTTCATGTGGTGTGCTGTGGACTGGGTTTACTTTGGTTCCCTGGCCTAAAAGTCTGTGCCGTAAGTTGTCTGAAGGACCAGTTGTTAGTTCAGTTGTTCCCATTAGGAGCTGGAGCACTTTAAACACCTATGTGAAGCAGCTCTCTGGTTTAGTTTCCTCTGAAAGGAATCACTTTCCCGTGCTTAAAACCGCTCTGCGCACTGAGCCGCTGCACGACGAGCGGGGGTGATGCTTCAAAACAGAGCTAGTGCTCTGAAATCAACACACTCATGTAAGTGCAGGCAGTGCTAGTTGTCTCGCTGCGTTAGAGGGTCTTGCAGGAGAGCACTTGGGCACCAGGAAGACAGGGATAGTGGTGACAGCGATGAGGATAACAGCTTAAGTGGATTCAGCGTTTCATTTCTGGCTTCTGGGGGAGTTAACCGGAGATCTTTTTATTCAAGACTAGTAAATTCTGCCAGCAAGATGATAACTTTGAAAAGGTGTGAACAACGAGACGTTCTTGTGCTGCATTTAAGTAGCTGGCCGTGGTTTCCCAAGTGCTAAAGCATGGAATTTTCCAGGGTGCGATTTGCAACCGGCTTAATTTTATTGGTTAGGAGGCAAAGTTTGTGAAGTCAAGTCAATCACCTGTATTCAGGGACACAGCTGAGCATAAGCATTTACAGCTCCTCAGCTGAAGGCGGGGACAAAGAGAGGGTATAGTTATCTGACTGTTTTCTGCTTCTCTTCGGGAAATTTTCCTCTTTTTGACATTGACTTTCCCTGCTTATTCTCTAGCTCTGCTAGTCGCAGCAAGAATGCATGATTTCCGACGTACTGTTAAAGAGGTCATCAGGGTGGTCAAGGTTTGTGAGTCTACATTAAGGAAAAGGTCAGTGCAGTTTTATTGCTTTTATCTTTTTGTTTACAGTACTGAAAAGTGTCGTAGCCTGAAAACGAACGTAGATTGGAGAAAACCAGGTTCTTTTCCTTTTCAGAAGTGCCAAGAATAAAATAAGTACAACATGTTTTAGCTGGTCATTTTTAAGTGCTAACACCTGCCTCTTACGTAACGCCTCAAAGGCTTAGCGAAAATGGTATGGAGCACTGTGCCCGTTTAACAGGTGAAGAGTTGAAGGCAAAAAGAGTGCCAGGTCAGAAATGTTAACAGTGTTGTCATGTCCTCAGAAGAAATAATTGATTGATTCTCAAAGCTGAGGGTGTACTGGGGGATTTTTTTTTTTTAGTCCAGCGTATAGTGCTGAAAAGTCTTGTCCATTAGCTGTTACCGAACAGAACTTTTCCAAATGTTAAACTTTTAACTTTGCTAAAATGTTCATTTTCGATAGTGTTGCACTGTAATAAATAGAAGACAGCGCAGTGAGTCTAAAGATAAGTTCACTGAAGAGGTCAGAAGTGGAATTATCAGCAAAATGTGAGCCTGCAAGTGGGAATTTCCCAAGTACCTTTGGCATGTTGTCTTTATTTTTAAAGATCTAGTTGTATTTTCCATATTTTGATGAAGTAAGCAGTCACCCAGTTTCCCTCATTTTGTTTTTTAAAAGTTGTGACGTTTTCTTACCCTGTAGGTTCAGTAAAAAATGACCTAACTGTGAAATACCATGCCTTCTGTTGCCCCTAGTTGGAAATTTTTGTACCACCAATAAATTCTGAAATTGGATCTACCAAGGTTTGTCTTTAGAACTCTCCCCTGGTGTCTCTCTTTCTCTCCACCTCGCTGAGACCTGCTTAAGCACATCCAGCCAAGTCTAATACTTGTTAAAAATATTCACTTCTTCATTGTGAAAAATATTCTTAGCCCAGATCTTCATTTGTGGAACAGGAATGATACTGTTTCCCTACCGTGCATGGGTGGTATAGGGATAAATCTAAAGTGTTTGAAGTGCTTTAAGGTGCTACAACAATAAGGATGGTGCAGTACGAACGCCACTTTTTTTTTCCGGTCAACAGGTCATGTTCTTTAATGTGTATTTTGTATGATTAAT